GCTAAGTTGTAATTTTTATATGTAATATACACCTCAATAAAATTGTTTTAAAAAAAGATACAGTTTTTTTTTTTAAAGCAGAAACACTGGTATATCTAAGGACACAAAACAATGAATTTTACATAACTATACTTTTTTGAGAGTCAAAAGTTTATCAATCAAAATGATAAGAATTAAAACCGTATCTTCTCGAATATGTTCATATATTATAATATGACCAATGTACATATGTGAGTAAAGGATGGTGACATCAAAAGTGACAAAATATTCTATATGTGAAAATAATTATAGTGCTAAAAAACTAACTCATTGTAGTAGTAATTAAGGGAGGCTGGTTACAATTAAGTAAAGGAAGGATATTAAAACTTCCAAAAGATATTTCTATAAGCCACAACAGAAGAACAGAGCAACAGAATAAGCAGAACCACATCCAAACCCACTTCCTTGTTATTTACCAATATCATCTAAAGAACACGGTTTAAATGCTGATGTTAGTTGTCTTGACTGGACAAATCTAAATCATATTCAGACTTAAAAAAAAATCAAAAGAATTTTTGACAAGGGTTAAAAGTTTATAGCCCTAAAACTATAAAAAAATTTGGTGCCCACTACAAACCACATCCTGGCAATTGTCATGTCTCTACAATGAACTACTTGAAATGGTTTTGTTGTGACTGAGGCAATCATTTCTGAGTTAATAATCAGCTACTATTCAAATCGAGTGTAATTTGTCTTTCTTACACTAGATCACTTTTAAGAAGACTATAACAATTTCATTTTTAGCCACAAACATTGAATGTTATAATTATTCATTTGTCATTCTATGTAATATAACCAAAATGAGTAGAAAAGGGTGTTTTTTTACTACTGCATGAAATTGTGTCCATTTTCCAGGCAGCTAGAATTAAGTTTAAATGTTACCTGCTTAAGGCAAGTGAACATTTATATTTTAAAAAATAATATTTTTTAATTTAAAAAAAGGTGAAGTTTCCTGTTATGCTTTTTTGAAAAGTATCTAGAAATAGCACTCCTTATTTACATAAAGCAGATTTTAATCATGTTGTGTTTGGTTTTTGGATCTAGACTCTATAAGCGTTATCTTAAATTGAAAGGCAAATTGAAGTCAGTCAAGGTTTATCTATTAGGAAAAGTTATAATAATTCTGATAAAATTATGTTATTAGCCAACTTTTTAATCTCAGCACATTGCTAACACGGAAGTATTTTTTTCAATAACCTAGTAAAATTAATGCTTGTCATCAGCAAAATACTTTCTAATTTACAAAGTATTTTCCACATCCTTTCTAATTTACAAAGTATTTTTCACATCCTTTAATGCATTACATCCTAAAAACAACCCTATATATTAGGGTAGTAAATACTTGTGGATGCTTCCCCAACATCCATTTTCCTCTCTTCTTGCCAAAAAATAACCATGCCATTCTTTGGAGGAACCACCTGTCCCCCAGTTTCAGCCATACAGTCTGGGTAGAGTTTACCCAATCTCTAGTAACAGGGATTGCTTAAGCTGCTCAGTGTATTTTATCTTTCAGGCCCCATTTATCACTTTAGGAATGGTCATTTAAACAGTGAAATTATGGTCATGTTTTCTGGGACTTCTAGGAAAGGGAACTTCCTTTTTCTCTCATAGGAACTACTGTAAGATTATGAAACTTTCTGGAATAAGATGGTGTAAGAATCTAAGATCCGGCTGGATGCAGTGGCTCACATCTGTAATACCAGCATGTTGGGAGGCGGAGGCAGGAAGATCCCTTAAGGCCAAGAGTTTGAGACTAGCCTGGGCAACATAGTCAGACCTCCCCCATCTCCAAAAAGAAAATATAAAAATTAGCCAAGCATAATGCTATATGCCTGTAGTCCCAGCTATTAGGGAGGCTGAGGAAGGAGGATTGTTTGAGCCCAGGAGTCTGAGGTTGCAGTGAGCTATCATCACACCACGGAATTCCAACCTGGGCAACAGCATGAGAAGCAAAATATAAGATCTGAAACCAAAACTGTTACAACCTTAGTTCCACATATGGAAGGATAGAAAAAGGAGATGGAGAAGGAAGAAGGCCGAGAGCATAGAGGAGAAATGAAAACAAGAAAGAAAAGAAAGATGAGAGAGAAAAGATATCCCCAGGCTAGACAAGGGCACATGAGAAGAAACAGAGGCCAGAGACAAGGAATAAGGCAGAGGCAAAAAGATAGAGTAAAACAGAGCTAAGGATGCAGTAGATCCAGAGAGTGAAAAAGTTCTTACCATGCATTGCCTTGCATGTCAGGTAAGCTGTAGAATAAATTATCTTTTACAACTGCCTTTTGAAGTTCTCTAACCACTACTCACAGGCCAGAAGCTATTCTGAACAGGGCAGCTGTAGCAAGTATATAAAGAGACATATTCTTTGCCTTAAAAGACCATCACCTAACAGAATTTATGGACAAAGAAAAAGAACTCCTGCTGGGCACAGTGGCTCTGGCCAGGCGCAGTGGCTCATGCCTGTAATCCCAGCACTTTGGGAGGCCGAGGCAGGTGGATCACTCGAGGTCAGAAGTTCGAGACCAGCCTAGCCAACATGGTGAAACCCTGTCTCTACCAAAATATACAAAAAAAATTAACCAGATGTTTTGGCACATGCCTGTAGGCCTAGCTACTTGGGAGTCTGAGGCAGAAGAATCACTTGAACCTGGGAGGTGGAGGTTGCAGTGAGCTGAGATCGTGCCACTGCACTCCAGCCTGGGCAACAGAGTGAGACCCTATCTAAAAAAAAAAAAAAAAAAAAAAAGATGGATAGATAGTTAATGAGACTTAAATATACTAATATTTTGGCAATCTGAGTTAACTGTAGTACAACAGGCCAAATCACTGTTACTGTGTTTGCCGAAAGCAAATCATCTCATCATTAGCTGTTTATCGAGTACTTATCCTAATTCTAATGGTTTACTACCTTTTCTCATCTTCCCTGGCAAACCTAAAGGTTACAAGACATTCCCATTGGTAATAGTATTTCTCACATTGATCTCAAAAGATTGGAAAAGCTAACCTTTAACAAAGGCTGGGCTGGGCATTAAGGATATCATGGTAAGCGAAAACACTGTCCCAGCAGTCATAGAACTTACAGTCTCAGGGAGAAACATGGACAATAAAAATAGACATACACATGCACACACACACACACACCAAAAAGGATTGACTATATAGCTGTGTGTATATGCATGAGTTTGCACTCATTGTGCCTTCACTTTGAAGCAACCCTGCCGGTAATTCCACCTTCCCCACCCTTACTCCCAGGGAAACACACGCCTTCACAGGGTGAACCACTAGTTAGATGCTAGAACTGAATTAAACACTACAACACTCATTTAAACAATACAATACTCTTTATAAATTATAGTAAAGCAGTATAAGTAAAAATCAGGAGATCTAAGTAGGGTCCCAGCTCCAGGACCTGTTACATAATCTGTGAGTCCTGGTGTAAATACAAAACTGTAGGGCCTCCTGTTAAAGTTATTAACAAATTCCACACAGTGACAGCAAAACATTTAACTAAGCCCAGGGCCACCTGTGACTGCACAGGTCACACGCCCATGAAACCTTCATGGTTTCCATACCTATTGGGTGTGCAACATTTATTCAGTTGCTTACCCTACTTCAGGTTCCTTACAGCTTAAAATTTAGGGAAGAAAAGACTTTCTGCACCTTCCTATAACTAACATCTATAGTTCTCTACTAAGGAGTGAGACTATTCATTTGAAAAGAGCTCTTTTACCTTTTTTATAGAAACATTAAAATTCTGACTGAGACTCAAAGCTCCTATTATATAAAAACCCATATGTAATATTTCATTTTCAACCATATTGATGTTTTTTATTTCTATACACCTCCTTAATTTTGCCTAAGAGGAAAAAATGTCCAAAGCTGTGTTCCAAGTTTACTATTTTCCCATGTATGCCTTTTAAATCTGAAATTCCCAACTGGGGTCTCTATGTCTAGAAAGTAGTTTTTCCCACAGTAAAATGTCTCCTTGCACAAATCAGATATTTTCTTTTTCTATCACAGAAAAATTATCTATTCAGAATCAACTTCCACATATGGTACAGCATCTGGGTCTGATCCAGTGAAAAGGCAAAATGTCATTTTGACAGTGAGTTAACCCTTTTATTCCCTCAGTTAAGTATTTAGCACAACATAACTGATAACTATGGAAACCAGGAATTCTTAATCTGGGGCCTATGGACAGATTTCTGGGAGTTAATCAACTCGAGTAAAAAAAAAAATTATATCTTTATTTTCATCAACCTCTAACTAAACTCTAGCACTTTCTTCCATTATAAATGTAGGTGACAAACCATAGCAGTACCTATGACTTGATCACAAATAAATATTATACATATCTTTGTATCATATTACAATTACTACAGATATCGTGAAATACCATTTATGCTCAATACAACTTCAAAATTGTAATAGTGTTATACCCACTATTAGATATTGTGATTTAATGTGTTAGTAAAAATTATATGTATTTTTATAATGCAAAACTGATTTTTCCATTGAATATATTTCAATATAACTGGCTTCCTTTGCAATCCTAAGTACCTCATGTTATGTGTTCAAAAACACAATTGCAGGGAAAGGTCCAGACTTCACCAGACTACCAAAGGGATCCATGACACATAAAAGGTGAAGAAACAAGTCAAAAGAAGTTGTAGAGCACATGCGAAGCAACTATATCTCTAGTCTCACAAGACGCAACAGACACATTCTAGTAAAAACAGCCTGGAAAATTTGAGTTCAACAACGATGTCGACATTATAACAAAATCTTCATGGTCCGCATATTTTAATATGAAATCAAGTACATCAAAGCAAAGCAGTTTTTGTTGTTGTTGTGTTGGTTTTTGTATTGTTTTTATACATGTAACCAGAGAATTTGATCTGAAAAGGTATAACCCAGAACAGTTTTTATAACATTATCTGAAATGTTCTTTGGATTGTTACCTGGGATGACAGTAGGTTGCAATCAATGAACAGTCCTTTCCCAGTTTTGTATTTTTGTATCAATCCAGCCATAATAGCTCCATATGCGTATAAGCCTGTGGCAAGATCAGTCATGGCTACTCCTGGGCGAACCGGCTCTCCATCCTGATTTGAAGGTTGGGTTGAAAAAGAAGAAATAATTAAAAATTAAAAGAATCATATGATTTCTCAAATCTTCTAATGTGAAATAGAAAAAAAAAGAATTGTCTATGAACTGTGCAGACACATACACACAAAAACAAGCTAATAAATTGCCATTGTGAATATCTGTTCATAATAGGAAAATATTTATATTTATTATATACTTCTCAGTGTATTTCTCTCCCTAACCCCTACTAATCAAACTAAACCAAAGTAAAAATAAAAGATTTTTTAGAAACCAATCTGATGTTTCAAATATTTTAAATTCCTTCTTGATATATTTTATCTTGTTTATACTAAAAAAAAAATAATTAGTTGAATTTAAATGAGTTAATTTGCTGGGGAGAAAGTTAAAGCAGTGTTTTTCTCCTATTGGGTGAGAGACTCTCTCACCATAAAAAAAAAAAAAAAAAAAAAGGGTTATAAAATCTGGTCTAACCTCCTTATAAGCATGCCAATAGCTGGCAAAAAATACTAATGGTATGTGCTTAATAATTTTTAAAAAGACTACTTATCCATAAAAAGATTTTGCTGACTGCACCTGAATTAGGATTACTCTGATAAACAAACTGTGAATCTACAGGTTTATGGGACGTGGAACACGAGGCACAGAGCATGAGCTTTGCAACTACCTGGGTATAAAATGGAGATGTTTCACAGCCTATAACACTCCCTGCTAGTAACTCATATATTTCATTAAGGACCTCATCTACTGCTTTGCACTGCAGAGTTTTATCTGTTACAGTAAGAAAGGATCCAGGGGCCTCTCTCAATGTCCCGGACCTGTCTCTGCTTTTCCTGAGCTTTTTGATTGCTTATATTCTTGAAATTATAATGAAAGCTAAATATTGATCAACATCTCCACTTCATGTCAGTCTGATTTGACAATCCAATTCTTGGCCCATGTGTAAAGATGTTAGGATAGTACTTGACACAAAATAAAAATCACCTATCAAAATTATCATCAACATTATTATTAGTTATTGATATATCAGATAGTTTTTACTTGTCACTACCTTTCATTCTGCTAAGACTTGAATTGCACAAAATAAATAAAAAACTCACATTTCACATTTCACCTGGTTGACACATTCATTCGATCACCTCCTTATTAGTTAATTCCAGCTTCTGTTGAATCATTTTCAAAAGTTAATTTGTCCTATTTTGTAGCCCATCATAAACCATGTTAATTGTTTTCCAAAAGTACTAAATAACGTTTAAAGCCAGTAACTGAGACTATATAGTAGCTAAAGTTATTTTTCCCTGCTTTTCAATACAATTTCAAGGACGATATTGCCATGAAACTTGGGAATGTCTGGCAGCCTTCTATTATTATTGCCAAAAGTTGTAATGTAATGCCTTAAACCAATACATTTAAAATTAAATTTGTCATTAGAATTTAAGATTAAATTAAAAGTGAGAGACAAGTTCAAAGTTACATTCACCCTTGAACAACAACGTTCTGAACTGCATGGATCCACTTATACGTGGATTTTTTTCAATAAAAGTTACCCTAAAGTCCTGCCACAGTGCCCTAAAGTCCTGCCACAGTGCCTCACACCTATAATCTCAACACTTTGGAAGGCCGAGGTAGGTGGATCACCTGAGGTCAGGAATTTGAGATGAACCTGGCCAACATGGTGAAACCCCATCTCCACTAATAATACAAAAATTAGCCAGGTGTGGTATATACATGTACCTATATTCCCAGCTACTCACAAGGCTAAGACAGGAGAATTGCTTGAACCAGGAGGCAGAGGCTCCAGTGAGCTGAGATAGCACCACTGCCCTCCAGCATGGATAACAGAGCCAGACTCCATCTCAAAAAAAAAAAAAAAACTACCTTATGACCTAGCAATTCCACAACTGGGTAAATATCCAAGAAAGAAGAAAATCAATAATGAAGAGATATATGCACTCCCATTTTTATTGCAGCACTATTGACAACAGTGGAAATATGGAGTCAACTTAAGTGTCCATCACTGGTTGAATGGATAAAGAAATGTGTCCAGCTACAGTGGCTCATGCCTATAAATCCAAACACTTTGAAGGCCACGCAGGAGAATCGCTTGAGGCTGCGAGTTCAAGACCACCCTGGGTGACATAGTAAGACCCTGTCTCTACCAAAAAATATAAAATTTAGCTGGGCATGGTGATACACACCTATAGTACCAGCCACCTGGGAGTCTGAGGTGGAAAGACCACTTGAGTGCAGGAGTTCCAGGCTCTGCCGTGAGCTATGATCATGCCACTGCACTCCAATCTGGGCAAAAGACTGAGACCCTGTTTCAAAAACAACTGCAATGTGACTTATATTATATTATATTATGTATTATATAATAGAATATTATTCAGCCATAAAAAATTAGCTGGACAATAAATAAATTCCTGTCATTTGTAACAACATGAACGTAACCAGAGGACATTTATGTTAAGTGAAAGAAGCCAAGCACAGACACACAGATGTCACATATTCTGACTCATGCATGGGAGCTAACAAAGCAGATCTCATGAAGATAGAGAGTAGACTCATGGTTACCAGAGGCTGGGAAGGGTAAGAGGAGGAGAAATGAAGACAGGTGGATTAGTGGGCACAAATACACACTTAGATGGAAGAAATAAGAATTGTTTTTCAATAGATCAGTAGGGTGACTATAGCTAACATCAAAAGGCTGTACATTTCAAATAGTTAGCAGGGAATAATTTGAATGTTCCTAGAATAAAGAAATGGTAAATATTTAAGGTGATGGGTATATCAACAGCCCTGATCTGATTATATTAATGTTTGGAATTATCACATGAACCCTGAAAACATGTACATCTATTATGAATCAATTTTTAAAAAGCTAAAAAAAATAAAAACAACTTTCTCAACCTAATAAAGGGCATCTATTTAAAATCACAACCCAGATCATACTTAAAGGTGAAGGACTGAATGTTTTCCCCAAAAATCAAGAACAAGATAAGAGGCCAGGCCCAATGGTTCATTCCTGTAATCCCACACTTTGGGAGACTGAGGGGAGGATCACTTAAGCCCAGGAGTTGGAGTCCTGACTGCACAACATAGTGAGACCCTCAACTATTTATTTTAAAAAAGAAAAAAAATTTAAACTAATATTTTTAAAAAGAATAAGACAAGGACATCCACTCTCACCACTTCAATTCAACATTTAGCCAGTGCAGTTAAGGTACAAAAAGAAATAAAACGAATGTAGATTGCAAAGAAAGAAGTAAAACTGTCTCAATTTGCAGATGACCCAGTCTTATATATCAAAAGTCCTAAGGAATCCACTAAAAAACTTATAGAACTAGTAATCGAGTTAGGCAGGATTGCAAGATAAAAGCCAATATACAAACATCAGCCGTATTCTACACAGTAGCAATAAACAAAAAATGAAATTAAAAAAAAAAATTTAATTTGTAATTGAATCAAAAAGAATAAAATACTTAGAAATGAATTTAACAAAAGAAGTACAAACTTATACTCTTAAAATAATAAAATACTGTTGAAAGAAATTAAGACAAAAATAAACCAAAAGACATCTCACAGTCATGAAGCATAAGACTTAATATTGATAATATGGCAATGCTTCCCAAACTCCTCTGCATGTTCAAGGCAATTCTACCTACTAAAATCCTAGATGCCTTTTCTGCAGAAATAAAATCTGATCCTAAAAATTCATGTGGAGATACCATAGACAGAGAATAGCCAAAAGACAAAGTTAGAGGACTCATAACTTCTGATTTCAAAACTTACTACCAATCTATTGTAATAAAGGCAGCTTAGTACTAGTGTAAGGCAAACATATAAACAATAAAAATTATCACGTTTACATCCCACTACTTTTTGACAAGTACGCCAACATGATTCAATTGAAAGAATCTTTACCAAAAAAAATGGTAAAAATAATGAAATTGGATCCCCTCCTTGTAGTACATACAAAAATTGACTCACAATGGACCAAAAATATAAACATAAGAGCTACAACTATATAACAGAAGAAAATATAGGAGTAACTCTTTACAATCTTGGATTTGGCAATGATTTCTTTGATATGACACCACACGTACTAGCAACAAAAGAAAAAATAGATAAATGAGACATAATTGAAATTAAAAACGTGTTTCAAAGGACACCACCAAGAAAGTGAAAGGACAATCCAAAAAATAAGAGAAAGTTTTGAAAATCATGTATTTGATAAGAAATTTGTACAGAATTTTCTTTTTTTAGAGAAAGGGTCTTGCTCTGTCACCCAAGCTGAAATGCAATGGTGTAGTCTGGGTTCACTGCAACCTCCACCTCCTGGGCTCATGCAAACCGGCCACCTCCACTTCCGGTGTAGCTGGGACCACAGGCGCACACCACCACTCCCAGCTAATTTTTGTAGAGACAGTGTCTCACCATGTTGCCCAGTCTGGTTTTGAACTCCTGAGCTCAAATGATCTACTGGCCTGGCCCTCCCAAAGTGCTGGGATTAAAGGCGTGAGCGATCGCACCCAGCCCAGAATTTTTAAAGAACATTTACAAAGGGACGGCGCGGGGCGAGGGGGCGGGGGGGAAGGCTCCTCCCGCAAATCGCAGCCTCTGGTACCAGGGTCGCTCCGTCCATACTCCACCTCGCCAGGACTTCTTACAGCTATCGCCAGTAGTCTGCCACGTCCTCCTTCGGGGGGCCTGGGCAGCGGCTCCGTACATTTTTGGCTGGGGGTCGCTTTTCGTGCGCCCAGCATGCACAGGAGCTCCAGAGGCCACGGCGTGTCTGTGTCCTCCGCCCGCTTCGTGTCTCTGTCTTTCTCAGGGGGGATACATCGGCGGCTATGGCTGCGTCCTAGCTGCATCCGACGAGCTGCTGGCGGGCAACGAGAAGCTCACCATGCAGAACCTCAACGACCGCCTTGGTCTCCTACCTGGAAAAGGTGCGCGCCCTGGAGGCAGCCAACAGCAAGCTGGAAGTGAAGATTCG